TCTCTCTCTCTCTCCCCGCCCTCACCCCAATTCCACCTCTCTTCCCCCACCCCAACTCCACCTCTGGGGGAAGAAATATGCTAATATGCTGTGTTGCGAGTAGCCACATGGAGAGTTCATGTGACAAGGAACCCAAGCTGAGGAGACCCTCCATCCTACCACCAGCCACAAGCATGCGTCTGGGAGCAGACCCTCCCTCAGTTAAGCCTTGAGATGACTGTGGTCCCAAGTGACATCTTGATTGTAGCTTTGGGAGTGACCCTGAATCACAGGCATGCATAGCTCACTCACACTAGGATTCTTAACTCACAGAAACTGCAAGATAACGGTTGTAATTTAAACTAAGTCTTGGTGTAATTTGGTACGTGGCCAAGGACAGCTAACACAGATTTGGGTACTGGAAGTAGGGTGCTGCCATACAAATGCCTATGTATGTGGGGGTGGCTTCTGAACTGGGCAGCGGGCAGAGGCTGGAGGGGTTTCAAGCAGAGTTTTAGTGAAAGTCTTAGTTGCCTTGAGCTTGCGTGTGGATGTCATGAGGCCCGCCAACAACTTGGTCGGTGGTCTCTGCTGTGAATCCTCTCTGCCCTTTGACCTTGAGATGGATGTGCCCTGGCCAACACCTTGATTGCAGCCTTGTGAGAAATCTGAGTGAGAGGAGCCCAGATAAGCCACACCCGAAGTCCGAGCCACTGACACTGTGAGATAGTAGATGTTCATTGTTGAAGCTGCTACGTCTTGAGCTCATTTTGTATGCAGCAACAGACAGCCAGGGCCGCTTCCTTCATGGGGGAGAGGTCATTGTTATTCTGAGGACAGACGCTGAACCTGGGAGGGATGTGCCTTTTCTGTCCTCAGCACATCTGCTGGTGTCATCCTGTGTGGACAGAAAGGCTTCTCCATCACTTTGGTTCCCCGCAAACATTGCCTTCAATGGAGATCACGTTTTGTGTTCATGGGCTTCCAACCTATGAATTCATTGCAATCTCTATGTTTTCATTTACCCAGAAGCAGCCGCTTTGATAGAATGTGGCTCAGTTACAGCACCGACTTGGAGACAGAAGTGCGAGGCTGGGGCACGGGTTCTGCCTGAACCCCACGTACCTGAAAACAGCCACCAGGATTTGATTTCCTTCCCCACAGTCAGAATGCACAGATGTGGGGGGAGTAGTGAGAACAGAAGTGGCCCTTCTCTTTATTAAATCAGGAGGACATTTTCTTCCTTTTCCTAGCAACTCTGGGCACAGTAGTTTGGAGGTCCTGTTGCTCAAAGAGTAAGAGATTTTACCCAAGAACATAGCTATGGTTCTGCTGAATTGAATGTTGAAACTGCTCCCTGGCCATTCTGAGCTCCCATACGGCTGACCCAATAAGCAGAGAAGGATGTCACTCTACTGCCTGGTGGTCGATCTCAGTTATCAGGGGGGCACTGGGGTTCTGCTATACAGGAGGGAAAAAAGGGAGATGTGTCTAAATCCTAGACGGGGTTCACTAGGACACTTCTTAGTACTCCCTTGGCTAAGGGGCCAGTCAGGCAATCGATTTCCAAATCTACCTGGAGCATATTGCTATAGAATTTGAGTTTGCAAAAATGGTCAGTTAAGAAGAATTCAGATAATTTAGGCACTCTGCGATGGCTTAGGAGGAAGTCCAGCCTATTTCCCCTGGGAATACATTGTTCTCAGTCTTATTTATGGACATTCCTATATGGCTTCTCTAGAGCCACTGACATCGGAGCTCTGAGTAGCCCTCTTGAGGCTGGGAGAATCTATCCAAGTGACCAAATCGCCTCGCTTCTAACTCAACTGCCACTTTTTCTGTGATTTCACGGAAACCTAGAAATACCGAAAAGATTGTTTGCTCGCAACTTCCTCTGCCAAAGCGATACGACAAATGTGTCGCCTGCTGCTGGTGTGTGGCCATCCCAAGGCTGCACTCCTTTCAAAGGCAAGGGGGCACGATCGTGCCAGGTTCTCCAGCAACCTGCCGTGCTTCGGTCACGAGCCAGGCGGGTGGTGCCAGCCTGGCGCCGGTCCCCGAGTAGGAACAGGTGTCGGTGTTTGCTGTTTCAGAGAGTCCCACCATGCCGTGCTCTGCTTCACGACAGGGCAGGCAAGCTCTTCGGACACATGGCGTCTGGCCTCAGGGCGATGCTGTCATGCCAGATGCACTTCTCAGCCACGGGTCCTCGGTGCCACCGGGTCTATTACAAAAGGTTTCGTTGACTTTGAATCTCAGAAAGAAGGGATTCAACACCCACCCCCACCGCCCGTCCAAGGGACCCTGAGATTCCTTACTCAAATAGAGCTGCCCACCTCTCGGTGACGTTCGCCATCCCATGGCTGTGTCTTCTCCCTTCAAAAGACAAAGGATTCTTAAGTCACAGGTCACACTTCTTCAGATACTCTGCTTTACTTATGTTCTTAATACTGACTTTTAAGGATAAAAGTGTTGGCATTTTTTTTTTTTAACCTATGTATTTTTGATGATATAATGCAGTTTTATTCTTTGTTGAGTAAGATGTTTTGATGCAATGATTGTGAAAGACAGTTAAGGAATCTTATTACATATTACAATCCCTGTGGATTCAGAGCAGTAAAGACTTAAAATAATACCCGTTGCCATTAGTTGAAATAGATTACAATCCACTGCCGTAATATTGATCGAACATATATAATATACCATTAACGTTTGCAGAATGATGCACTAATACACTAAAATGCCATTGATTAAGCGTGTTAATTAGGTGCTGAAAAATTTAAGCAGGTTGCTTCATCAAAACCAAACATCGATTTCGCTGACATTATAAGCTCTTGATTGTCGTGGCAATGTTCTCTTTATAGATCCCTTTGTAGGAAGGTAATGTGTTGATAAGGTGGTTTCCAACACCTACCAGCCAGCGATACCAGTATTTTATGGGGATGGGACTTTAGAAGGGTCGATGCATAAATTTACACTAAGCCAATGTGTATTTTTGGCATCAAACTCCTTTAGAGCCGGGCTTGAGTTTGTGAGATTGGCTGATGCACACAGCTGGTCTTTGCCGTTTGGTGACCTGCTTTGAGAAGTCAAAAGTGAAGGCAGAGGGCACCTAGGACTCCCTGTCAATTCCGTTTAAAGGTCTTCTTGTGAACTATCTTTAAGTGGTGGTCTCAGCTAGTGGTGCATACTTCGTAATACATGCAAAAGAAGTTTGGAATCTGCTTCGTTGCCGTTTCAGCAAATTTATTCGTTACACATTCTCTGACCCTGATGAAAGGAGCATTCTTTAGGAAAGAACTGGAAAAAAAAAAAAAAGCCTGAATCAGAAGACTAAATATCGAAGGTGGTAGTAAGCGGATATTTATCTGCAGAGTGTAATGCAGAAAATAAGGCAAGAGAATGTTGTACATGAGTAGTTTAACTGCCAGTTTGAGTATGAGCAGATTGAGTCTCTAGAAAGCCCCAGCGGGTTGAGCAGGGTTGGAGGGTGGTCCCCTTTCCATTCGCTTAAGCGCCCCTATTCTACTTGGTCTGTTTTATTTTATTTTATTTTATTTATTATTTTTAGGTGAAGAAACCCTTGTTTGACCTCACAGATTGCAAGGACTTGGTCAGCTTACATCCTTTATTTTATATTTTACACCTACAGCACCCGGTCTTCCTAGGTGGTCTCCCATCCAAGTACTAATCAGGCCCAGCCCTGCTTAGCTTCCGAGATCAGACGGGATCGAGCGCGTTCAGGGTGGCATGGCAGTGGACTTCTTGGTCTGTTTTTGTTTTGATAATGTCAGCCCTAGTTCTAGACTTTAAATGTTTTGCTCTCCAGCCACACGACAGCTATTAAATCAACACCGTTTCTTCATGAATATTTTCCAGCTTGGGCTTATTGAGAGATTATGATTTCTAGTTGTATGGATTGTTAATGCCAGCCATTAAATTCTGCATGTACATGTAAATGAGACTTTATAATATTTTTAAAAGTCTTAGTTTTATTATTTTATAAACCTTTATAATAATGAATTGATATTTCATAAACTGTTCTCCATGAGAAGCCTCTGACAAGGTTTATTAAATGTACTTTCAGATTTTATATATATGCATTTCCAACCTTATATTTATGTATTTTCAAATAAATATAATGCATGTGCGTATGTAGATAGATGATATATATTTAGATGTAGATATACACATATCAATATGGAAATATGAAGATATAGACGGTACTGTCAGACATTATTTTAATGATCCTGATATGGGTAAAAAACAGATTTGGGGAAAGTGAGGTTTACGCAAATGTAGATTTGCAAGAGTAAGCCTCAAGCTTTGGTATGCAATGTTGGTACTCGTGCAGAATTCTGAATCCTCTGCTCTCATGAAGTATGTTTTCTTTATCTTTTTCAAGCAAGGACTGTGAGAATTTATTTGAATTAGCAGTATAATTTGTAAAAAAACATTTTGGAGTCAGATCCTATAACTTTGCTGTAGAATGATTTGTCCTTACAGAAGAAGCTGAGCAACTCTTCAATGTAGATCGGGCACTTAATTTTCCTTTGCTCTCTTAATTGGGCAACAGGTGACACAAAACCATTGTTTCCTGTAGGTTATACACGTTCTTGGCTTTCTTCGTGAACTGCCATATATTGCCATGAATTGCTATTTCTTCTAACAACCGCTTAGGAAAAAAAATGAGCAATGATCCGATCAAATATAGACTGATGTAGTGGATTGCTACTGTCTTCTGCCCTTGAAACAGCTTATGACCAAAGCCATAGCAGAATGAGAAACAGAAAACAATGTATGACTCCCACTCTCTTATTAGAATAGATGAATACAAAGAAACAAATTTACGTTCACATTTACACTGTAATTCACTTAATAACTCTATACAAGTCATTATGTCTAAGGAAAAAATCCGTTTCATTTTTAAGATGCATCGAGTTCTTTTACTGTTCAGGTGATGCCAAAATATCAAAGCAACGCTAAAATTTAAGAAGAATTCAAAATTTTAGCATGTTTATGAATACCCATATCCTTAACCTCTCATAAGCCCAGTATTTAAATAGGTTGCTGATTTTTTTATCTTGTTATCTAGAGGCACCGATATTATATACAGCAACATAAATTTATTTGTGCCTGAGAAATTATAAAAAGAGTAGCTTTGAAATAAAACATTCATGAGAAGTCTATTTTGGGTAAATTATACTAACTTATAAAAAACATGGTTACAGAGATATATAAATCATTAATTAAATTTTCATAATTTATCATATCTCCTATAAAATGCAGGTAGTTCTTATAATGATTCCCTGTACCCTATGTACTCATTTAGACATAAGGCTTTATAAATCAGTTAACTATGAAACTGTCTTATTTAAAGAAAGTTAAACATTAACTATTTTAGAAAATAAACAACTTCACTTAAATATGAATAATCAGGTCTAACTGTTAAATAAAAACCTTTGAAATTTATATCAGATTTCTTAAGTTAGAGAGATCTTTATTTTTTATTTAGCAATTGCTTATCTCAAATGATTTAGTAATTAGCTATCTGTAAGCACAATTCTTAGACTCTATAGTATTCAGTGGCAGATGATTTTTCGAAAGTATATAATTTTGATGTGATATAACACAGTAGGTGTATAAATCTCAGATGATCTTATTAGCGATAATGATTTGGCATTGCTTAGCATCTTTTCAATGAGAAATGTTCAGACAAACTTACAGACGTATTTTCAGAATATTTACATATAGTTGATAGGGTCGGATCCTATTCCAGATAATGGGCCCTGATCTTCTGACATAGAATATTATTATTCTTACGTGAATATTATTTTAAAAACATACTTCTGAGATATTTGAATTTATCTTTATTTCTCCCTTTAGGCAGAGCTTTGAAAATTATATGGCTGCACTTAAAGTGTAAAGGTTATGCTTATTTCAGGGTTTTTAAATTCAGAAAACTCAGAGTGCTAGGTATGGTCAGGATCACGTTACTATTATTCCATTACCACGGCCAACATTTCCGAATATTTAACTTAAAAGACTTAACAATTAGGGTAGTGCAATGAGATGCAAAAATAAAGCCGAAAATATTTATACAGGATTTCGAATGCAAACACATTTATTGCCCCTCTTGTTTAGAACTCAAGTTGCTTGATATTCAATTAAATTAAACTCAAGATGCCTCGCGTTAAATTATGTATTAAGGGTTGGGGGAAGAAAAATGAAACACATTTCTTAAGAGCACTCATTCCAGTGAGAGAACCAGCTACACGTTCCAGCTACTAGAATCTGGTACAGAAGGTGATGCGGTCAGTTCTTTTTTGCGCCGTCGAATCACGTGTTTGGAGGCTACAGAAAAGTGTCCACGGAGAAGGTGACAGGCCGTTCTTAGAGAAAGAACAGCGCAAACACAGACACCTTTTCAAATGCGTGAGCACCAAGTTTCTTGGGGGTGAGGGAGAGGGATGGCGTAGGTGGGAACGGGTGCTCAGCCGGTCAAGTGTCCTGAGGGATAGAAGCAAGGAATTAGGAAGGAAAGAGATTTCAGAGTTTGGTAGTGGATTAATAAAGAGCAGGGTGCTAGAGGCCATGCTGACACAGTCGCCTCTCTGGTTTGGTCATCAAGTCTTCTACATTGGGAAAAACCAACACTATTTTGGGGTGAGAAGAAGTGAATGAGTTTGATAGGGGACAGTTCGGAAGGCTGCCTTTCGGTAGTCATGGAAACTGTCCATCTGGATCCTAGGAGAAAGTGGAGACCTAGTGACGGTGATAAGGGTGTGTCTATGTCATGGTGACACGTATGGCGGTGGGTGTGAGGAGGGCTGGGGGAGGGTGGAAGCGTGTGGCCACCAGCGGAAGTGGCCAGAGGAGCCCGCTCATCGGACTGTGTCCCCACAACGCTCTCAATGCAGAACATAAGCTCCTCTGGGTCACGGACAGATTTTTATTTTGTACGTCTGTAATCTTATCTGTTTGACATAGTGATCGACGATAAGATTTATAAGACGAGCTGTACTAACAAATAGTGCGACATGGGTGCTAGCAGAGGGAATTTTTTTAATTTAAAAATAAATTCACTAAGATTTTATAATTGGGATTTTATAATTTATTAAATATCAAGGTTAAAAATTGTGTGTTTATATTTATCTTCCAAGTCAGGGATGGTGGTGGTGTTAATTTCTAAGTGAGACATGGTAAAACACGACAGGCTGAGTTCTTGCTGGATGAATATTTTGAGTTTTCTAGATGTTTAGATTTACAAATATTATAGATAGATACACAAACTCCGCTTCCATATACACTAACAAGATGGTAACCTGATTTTCATTCACTGAGTGGCTAATTTTTAAACTCAATATTGAATACTGACTTTTGTACTCTATTGGATATTGGTGTTACATGTAGTCGATTTGTTCATTTTTTAATGCCAGAAGTTGATACTTATACAATCTATTTCTGTTAATAATCCCTGCTTAATAATCCCCCCATTTAAAAAAAATCCCTTTTATTTTTAATGCATTTTACCAATCTGATTGATTCTAGAAGGCTAACTCCATCTGACTTGCTGTCAGATTAACACCATATACTGTGTAATTGTATATAGCTATTCACTCATATACATGTATAGTGAGGAAGTATGACATGTTTTATCTTAGCCTTATGAGGAGTATGTAGCTTTATTTTACAAAATATTGTGCCGGTCGCTAGCATTCTGGAGGTTGGCAGTCCGAGGCCATAGTGCCAGTGTGGTTGGACTCGGGGGCGTGCCCTTCCTAGCTTGTAGGTGTTCTGGACGTTCTCTTTGTCTTAGAATGACATCAGTCCTATTGGATCAAAGCCTCGCTCTTATGACCTCATGTAACCTCAGCAACCTCCTGACAGTCCCCTCTCCAAATGCGGTCACACTGGCAGTTAGGGACCCAACGCGTGAATGCTGGGACACACGACTCGGTCCATGGCAATGGGGAAGATATCGTCCTCACATAGTAGAGTTTTTAGAAAGGTGACTATACTTTTTACAGTACCCAATGGCATAGCCGTAACATATCATCAGATATTGTAACAGATTTGATTAGACTCTTACATTGCGGTGCTTATAAATGTTATTTTTAAGATATGCTCATATTCGGAATATATGCTTAGGAAAGTTATTCCCATTTTATATCAGTAGAAAGTATCGGCATTTAAAACCGTGTATTTTTAAGTAACCCCAAGATGCAGGATACAGCGGGACTAAACAGGGTGACTGGGGACTGGCATATGTAAAGACTGGCGTCACAGGTGATTTCATTCAGACGTCATCCGGAGTCTTTCCATCAATTTTCACGTGACTGCTACCCAGTATGAATATGAGACGTGCAGAAGGTAAAAGGCAAGTCCATGCGGTTTATCCTGGATTTTGAATCGCTACATTTTCCACTACACAGGGAGGAAGAAAGCCCCTTCGCATCTAACATGGAAGAGGGCCAGTGATTCTTGGGCCCTGTAAGTGACAGGGCTTAGACTACCGTTTCCAGATCGAGTGGTGTAGGGTGAAGTCTGGAGAAGGCATTCTAGTAGTTCTTAAAGCTGGTCTTATGCTCTTGCAATCTGTTCTGTATCAACTGAAGTTTAACGAATCCCGAGAGGCATTCTCTGCCTACCAGGTGGAGGTCAGGAGTATGTGATAATCAAAGCATGGAGCCAGCCTCTTACTATTTTTATCCAAGTGGTAGAAGGCACTTTGTCATGGCTAATATCTTGTGTTTTTTTTT